CAGAACTCTCCACTATGACCTGTCTGTCTTGGGTGTCCCTGCACAGCATAGCCCATAGCTTCTCTGAATTAGTCAAGCCCCTTCGCCACGACAAGGCAGCAATCCATGAGGTGCTGGTCCCCCTCTATTCAGCACTGGTTAGGCCTCACCTTGAGTATTGTGTTTAGTTCTGGACATCACACTTCAAGAAGGATGCTAACAAATTGGATCAAGCTCAGAGGAGGGCGACAAGGATGATCAGGGGGCTGAAAACCAAGCCTTTTGAGGAAAGGCTGAAAGAATGGGCGTATTTAACCTTGAGAAAAGGAAACTAAGGGGTGATATGATAGCACTTTTCACATATTTGAAAGGCTGTCATACAGAGGAGGGGCAAGATCTGTTCTTGATCATCCAAGAGTGCAGGACAAGCAATAATACACTCAAGTTAAAGGAAGCCAGATTTCGGTTGAATGTCAGGAAAAACTTCCTAACTGTTAGAGCAATATAACAGAACCAGTTACCTCAGGAGTTAGTGAGTGCTCCAATACCGGAGGCATTCAAGAAAAACTTACATCATCACCTGGCAGATATCCTTTGATTTGTATTCCTGCATTGAGCAGGGGGTTGGACTCGATGGCCTTGTAGGCCCCTTCCAACTTTACTTTTCTATGATTCTATGAACCAATACATGGGGTGGGTGAGAGAGCAGGAAAGACTTCTGCTAAACAGTTCCAGCTACCACTGGAAGTTTTCCAACAGCTGTGGCATTAAATATGTGCCCAACTCTCAGATTATCCAGCCATCTAGTGTACTGTAACTTCCTTTAACTGAAGATTCATCTTCATCTTGAAGCCATATTTTAATATGAAGCTTCAGGATTCAGGGGCGTCCAGAGACGGTTTGGTCTCTCAACAAAGAGAAAAGTGAGGATCATATAATCCACATTCAAAAGCTAATCAGACTCACAGCTTAATTTCTCTCTGGTGACAAGAATCATACATCAGTGCAGTCCAGGGCACCATTCTAGTTTAAAGGGCCCAGGATAGGCCATGTGATGCGCCCAACTTTATCTTCCAACAAGTTGTTGCTGCTTTCTTCTCCCTAGTGTTTACTGTCTGAGAGAGGGGCCTCACTCTGCCTGATACTTGTGCTAGCTCTGCCTGACTAACAAGTTCTTGTGATTGTCTCCAGCTTCCTATTAGCAACACACAGCGATTTTGCAATGAAAGTGGAGAGCACTAGAAAGATACTAGGCCTACCATTGTCCTCCTATCGCTATAGGTACTTTAAATATTTTCAAACAGCACTGACAGGTTACTTTATTTTAGTGTTTCTGCTGGGAAAGTAAACAGTTTTGGCAAGCAGACAGCTAGTGAAGGGTGGCTGCGACATTCAGCTTTCCCTGAAAGTGGATCGCCTATAGTCTCAGGATAAGGCAGACTGAATCAGAGCGGAGCTTCTGTGCTGAGCTGGAAAGCCACAATCCTCTCACCTGCATATCCACCACATTCAAATTACTAAACAGAAAACACAAAGAAGCCCTATGCCCATGTAGGTGTCACCTTATCAGGATTGATGCCTTCAATAAGCCTCTCCAAAGAAGGCATCCAGCTAGGAGCCAGGTGGCAATTCTGGAAGAAGACCCATTTCCCACGCTCCATAGCGCTGCGCATCATGGCTTCTGCACGAGGACCCTAAAAAGCAAGGCAGAATTAAATCATCAGTCACTGTTCAGAATCAGGTTCTATTCTTCAGTCTGTGTTTACCTTGCCAACATGGATTTAGGTAGTAGTAGGAAAATTAAGAAGTCTGAGATTCTTTGTTTTCATTTTCTGTTTCAAAAACTCAACAGATGCTTAGTTCTTATGTTAGCAAAGATAGGCCTGAAAAGGCAGAAACGAGACCTAATGAGATTCAAGTACAGTCATGCCCCGCTGGACGATTACCCCACTCTATGACGAATCCGCATTACGTTGACGTTTTTGCAATTGCTTTTGCGATCGCAAAATGATGTTTTAAATGGGGGAATTTCGCTTCACGTTGATCGGTTCCGTTTCGGAAACCGATTTTTTTAAATGGGGAATTTTGCTTCACGTTGATCGGTTCCATTTCAGGAACCGATTTTTCACTTCATTTTTCACAGCTGATCGTCGGGTTTCAAAATGGCCGCTGGCTTTCAAAATGGCCTCCCGCTGTTTTCTAGGATGGATTCCTTGCTATACAGGCACCGAAAATGGCCGCCGTATGGAGGATATTAGCTGGACGAGCAGGTATTCAGCCCATTGGAATACATTGAACGGGTTTTCGATGTGTTTCAATGGGATTTTTTTGTTTCGTTTGACGATGTTTTCGCTCTACAGCGATTTTGCTGGAACGAATTAACATCGTCAAGCGAGGCACCACTGTAATCAAAACAGGAGAGTGGGACAAAACTCTAGTCAGCGGTAGTGTGCTCTTTTCGAGGCTTGGATAGTTCCTTGCCAACTCCTTGTATTTAGGAGAAGCAGACGACATTGTCCCAAATGATCAAAGGCCTGCAATTTTCATAAATGTGCATTATTTACATAAAGCAAGGACAATATAATTTAAGATGCATCCAATTATCACACAAATTATATCAATCTTTTCTGCCTCCCCTAAAACCGTGAAGTAACTGCCTCCACTATGGCTGGGGAAGTCCAGAACATTTGGAGGGCCCTTAGGTTGACCATCACCGAGGTCAAGAATCCCTACTGAGCCTCTTCAGCATAAGCTGTGCTTAAAGGCATCTGTCGGCACTGGGCACTTACTTGTCCTTGGCCAAGAGAAATAGCAGAAAGTTTTTTGGAAAACTTCATTTCTTCAGCAAATTTGTAGAGATCAGCAGCTGGGTCTGTGCCCGGAGAAAGGACGAATATCAAGGGAGTGGTAGCAGCAGACTCCTTAAACACCACGGAGAGATTTGCAGTCTGAAATGGAGGGAAAAGGAGAGGGACAGGATTTGATGTCAAGGCGTCCAACAGTGGAGGAGAGCGGCTGCTCACCATCAGGGTGAAGCCCTTCCCTTTCCAGGGGCACGAAAGCTACAGGTGAGCATGGCAGAGAGATGGAAAAGGCTTGGCAAAGAGGGTGACGAGATTGTTTCACCAAAGGCATCAGCCTCTTCTCACAACTACGGCTGTCCCTCCACACAACCCACCACCATCTGTCTGTTCCCCTGTTGTGAACTACCTGTGGTTCAATAAAGCTCTGCCCCAGGTTGGCAGCCACAAAATCCTGCATTGCGTTAGTGACTTTGTCTCCACGCAGACAGCGCAGGACCAACAACTTCTGGAAGGAATCCAATTTCTTGTTCCAAATGCCAGGCAGAGGTTCCCTGGAAGACAGAAGGAGTTGTACCAGAAACAGGAAAAGGAGACAGGCACCGTTGAGACTAAGAGCATTCCTTCAAAATTTTCCAGGTTGAAGAGACCTTTCGGTCGTGTGGGCGGCATTACAAGTTAAATAAATAATAGTAATAATAATAATATTTTTGGCTGATTTTCTTCATTGCCAAATAGTGTGGTGGCGGAGGTGGTGGTGGTGAATGAAGCACAATGAAGCCAAGCAAACGTATCAGCAGCCGTGATCCTACTAGGGATGAACAGAAAAATCACCTGTGAGGTTCGGCACTATCAAAGATTGCTCGGAAAGAGGGCAAATTTCCCACAAAATCATCTGAGAATCTGGAAAAATTGTTCAGGTTGGATAAGGCCAGGATATCATTCCATGCTCTTTCATACAGCCATTCAGGAGCTGGATTATCACGCATGATCTTAACAGCACCACCAGAAATAAGGTATCGCCATTCATCCTGTATAGTGAAAAAAGCAGGAAGTGCACATGGGAAAATTAGGTTTTCTCTTATACAACTTTCTTCTACGGTCCTGGGCAGAAATGTCAATATACGGAGATCTTACTTCACAAATGGTCAGAACTCTTACAGGCTCAACAAGGGGTCACGCTGCACCGCTAACAACCAGTAGCCCTGATCACTTCCACAGGAACCATTTATGAACATATGTGTTACTTCTGCAGTGCTTGAAGATGCTTTAAGAACTGGACTCGACACCAAACATTTTGCCCCGACTTTGTTCTGCATTTCAAAGATGTGGTGGTGATGAGATTGGGAGAGTTTAGTTTCCAAAAATTTGGGGGCTGCCTTTAATTTGAAAGAGACGGCCAGCCCTTTTCCTGATGGAGCCAGCCATGTTTTAAATCCAACCGTGCGTGCCTATTGCAGAATTTGTACAACTCCTTTTTTAAAAACTGCCCTGGGGCCGTGCTGGCTGGTGCATTCTGGGAGCTGAAGTCTCTGAAGATGCTTTTCGGTTAAAAGTGGAGTTAACTTCAGCCATCTCAATGAAGCTAAAATAAACCACCCTTGGTCTTGAACAGTTTTGAGAAATCAGTCTGTCTCCTGAAAGCAGTTAAATCCCCCCCCACCTCTTTTCACGGAGGATGATTCCACAGAAGTGTGTGTGTTGAGGATTGAGTTATATACTCCCACATTATTTGCCTGCCCTTACGAAGAACGTGACATTCATTAAATGATGCTACTTTGGGCTCTTATTGATCATTTACTCACCATGTCTACTTTGCCTTCATTCATCATGATCCGGATGCAGACCAGAAATGCAAACATGAGCTTGTGCTTCTCAAAGAGGCTGCGGCACACATTGCTATAGAGGCTGAAGGTGAGGTATTTATTGATATTTGCTATCCGTTTCTTTAGTGTGTCTGAAAATGGCAAGGAACAACAAGGCAGAGAGTGAGGAAGAGACGAGAACCCACCCTAGTGCTGCCGTCTTTAGCAGGCTGCCGCCGGAGACGTCATCATGTATGGGAGACTGAGGCCATTAGCTTGCCTCCTGCCTCCCCTCCGAGGCCCGTATGCTGAGCCCTACCAGCACAGACAAAGAGTGGTAGGACATCTGCAGGCAATTAAAAGAACCATTAATGGAAAGAGATTTTCTATTGATAAAGATAACAAAGGAAAAATTAATGCCTTGAAATAATGCTTCCACCTAGAGTGGACTTTAGTTATGACGAGAGAAAGGCAAATGACACTGCTTCATGCTTCAGGGACACCTAGATGGGCAGAACATGATAGACCGCCATCACCTAGAAAAGGGATCCTATTCCAGAGACGTCAGAAAAGACCAAAACATTTCCTGAACCCAAGACAATAATAATTTGGAAAGAACCTAGAGTTCTGATTGGAAGGCATCTTGAGGTCCCCCACCGCCGCCGCTGGGAGCTGAACCATGCCGGGCGATCCCGGCCATGCTCGGACTCCTGGACTGTTCAGGAGTCCGAGCATGGCTGCGATCACTCGGTGCGGCTCAGTTCCCAGCAGCAGTAGTGGCGCCGGCGGCGGGGGACCTCCGGAT